AAAAAAAAAAAAAAAAAAAAGCTATGGGAAGTATGAAGAGAAAAATAACTCTCCAAGCTGAGCCTACATTTTGGTCCATTTGGTTTACTTTGCAGATGACTTTTTAAATGCACAAATAACTGTTTCTTGGGAACAGTGGGTGGGGATAGATTATTTGTAATCTGAAGAGCTTTCAATAAGATAAAATAAGAGACTCATTTGCTACCCCAGGTTCTTTTTAAAAGATGAGTATTCCCCAGGATGATTGTGGTTGTTATGGATTATAAACAATACAAATAAAAACATATACAAAAGATGAGCAGTGGGGTTTGTCTGTCTTTTCTTGGGTTTTGCACTATAGTGAGGGAGTTGCATAAGCCTCACAAAGGAGGCAATTCAGTGGTACTTCTGTAGGCTTTGTTTTCCAGTTGTATAGAAAAAAATTTAGAGATGTTTGGGAATCAGCCACCAGGGGAATTAGTCCAGCCCTCACCCCTCAGAAGTATATGCCTATAAACTGGAGGAAGAAAACTACTGTCTTCCTAAACAGCGATCCTCAAAATATGAAGTCTATCAGGTAGTAATGGTGGACCTGAATTCAATTACTGCATGTTTATTGTTACAATAGGGTTTGACTTGTTTGGATTTAAATGTTAATGTATTATTTTGATATGATTTTCAATGTATTAATAAAATAAGGGTTCTTTAAGAAGAATTTATTCAGTACATTCTGTACCATGAATGGAGAATAAACAAACAGAAAGGACAGTTATCCCTGTTTTCAAGGAGCTTATAAATCATGTTTGTGAGGGAGGTGGGAGGGTGGGCAGATGTTTGTTTTAGCCAACACTTAGTGGGATGAGTTTTTTTTTTTCCTTTGTGCTAGGCATTTTTCAAAGAGCTTTACACATGTGAACTATTTCAGTCTTCAAAAACTATGTAATTGGTCTTTTTTTTTTTTTTTTTTTTTAAATCACCATTTTACACACAAAGAAGCTGAGGCACAGGAAGTTTGGAAACTGGCTCAATCTTCGTAAGGGGTAAAGCCAAACTACAAACTCAGGCAAGTGAACTACGATGTTATTGAGACCTCAAGTTGGATAGAACGCACACATATACATCATTAATAGCTATAAAGAAAAACAAAAAATAATTATAAAAATAACTAACAGTCACTAATAGTACTAAGGTCGGAAAGTGATGAAAGGGCAGGGACTGGGGTTTAGCTCAGTGGCACAGCGCCTGCGTGGCAAGTACAAGGTCGTGAATTCGATTCCTGGTACCAGAAGAGAAAAAAAAAAAGGGCAATACTCTGGGATTAGGATGGTTAAGGAAGTCTTCATGGTCTGAAACAGAAGTAGGGCCAAACAAGTGTCATCTGCATTATTTTGTTGGACAGAGAGCACAGGAGACCTCTGAGAAGATACAGGAGAGAAACCTACCTGCTTAATCCATTGTTTCACAAACTTCCTTGGCTGTGAAACCATTTTATCCCCCTGAAAACAGTTAACACACATCTTTCGGTACATATATTTTTTAGCAATTTGGGAAATGGTACTTTAGGAGAGCAAAGTTGATGTGTGAGCTACCTATTTGTAGAGACAACCTGAGGGCTTGCTGCTAGGAGTGGCCACAAAGGATCCGAAGAAGCTAGAAAGAGAAGGGCTACTGAAAATCTTGGTGTGTAGGATTTGAATGGAATTCACAAACACTTGGCAGGTTATCAAGTTTATTTATTTTACTAATCCTTCCCTCCAGCCAACTTTAGGAAAGTGTTAAATTAACCAGACTGGTGCTCTGTGGCTGGGATGAGGAGTATTTACTTTAAAATCAAAAGAGGTAGTTTCTTACTTGTCTCTGCTCTTTATCAGTGTGTTCTAAGTACTCCAGGATCACCGTCTTTTGAAGCTACCACATTGTTTCTCCACAAGGTGAAAAATACTGAAGATTCAATCAGTCCTTGTAATATTAGAATTTGAAGAATTTTAAGCAATTGAATCAATGATACATCATTGCTTGGATAACTGAGATAAGCTAAAACAAAAATTTTTCAATAATCTCTCTGAATTAATTAAAAATAAAAAGTCTATTATGTACTGTTTTAAAGCTAAGCTTGTCTTCTTTAGCCATTACTCAAATGTTTATTCATTCCACTTCCATGGAAGCGGGAAGGGAGTCCTTGCTCTTCTCCGACAGATGTTAAGACATGGCTCTGCTTTATCTAAATGCCCCCACAAAGCCTCATGTAATCACAGCCTGGGCTTTGGAGAGGTAGCTGGGTCATGGGGTGGTAGAGCTGGCTTGCTAGTGGGAGGTGAGGTCTGGGAGGAGGAGACAGGTTACCAGCGGCATGGCCCGGAATGGTTTATCTTGACTCCGGGCTCCTCCTTCACACTCTGCTTCCTGGACACCAATATGTGAGCCGCTGTCCTCTCCCGTGCCTGTCTGCCATGCTGTTTCTTCTTTGAAACTTGCCAACCACAGACCAAAACCTGAGCCCAAATAAACTTTTCTCCTTAAGTTCTGGGTGTCGGGTGTTGTTTCTCAGCAAGGAGGGAGAGACCAAGACAGACAATAAGCAACAACTTGGAATATATTTGGAAATGTGTGAGTGGTGTGAACTGAGGGAACCCGGAGGTGCCAACCCATGGCCACTCCTTGCAAAAAGTCCCATACTTGTAAAAAGACCCACAAACCTTCAGGGCTGGGACGTAGGAACAAAGCTATTCCAACAAGAATTAGAGCTTTGGTGGCATAGATAGAAGGGAGATAACTCATTTTGTTTTTATGACTTATTTTCTTCACTGACACTTCTGTAGAACTGCAAAGAGAAGATACACTGTCCTTTACACTAGATTCTGGAGGGACTAACCCGAAAAGTAGCTTGGGCAGATCTTTCTTTGGTCAACAGAGTATTCATCTTTTCAAACAAACAAGCATGTAAGTTAACTGTGTCAAAAACTGTAAAATTGAGTTTGATTTCTTAATAGGGAATCACCAGCCCTTCTTTACTCTATTTCTTTCGGTTCTTACCTACATGTAAATGATTATTTGTCAAGTTTTTTCTTAAGAGGAGAGATACTCTAACTATTGAAAGTCTACTACACACCAGAGATGCTTGGTGCTTTTTGTACGTAATCTCTTAATTATCACAATAGTGATTATTAGTTTGAAATAATCTTATAGTGGTTTTGATAACACCCTTCAAGTCACAGACTGAGTTAATGACAGAAAAGTATTGGGACCTGCTTTTATCTTGGAAGCTTATTTGCTTTCTATTATGTTGTAGCAGGTTCAGGAGGGAGCTATGGCTGCAGGGGTTTCTCGATTTCTCTCGGAAGCACTCACTGATAATGCCAGTCATTGACACAAGATTGAATGCTCCTGGGGGAACTGGACCGTTTCATATCTCACTATCCAGCACATCTGGAACATAGTGAATCTCCCATCAATATTTGCTCAATTGAAGTTTAATTGTTTATGTAGGTTTCCTTTACTCTGACAAAGTTTCAGCGAGGCTTCCATGTACATTTGAAAGTCATGTCTGATTTTTAGTTGGGATACCACTGGGATCTGTCTGTTGATTTTTGACTTTATGATTTAGGGCATCCACACAAACAAATGTGGCTTTGCATTCAGACATGAGAAGGCATTAAAAATATCCGGGAGATTCTGACTAAAAATCTTAATGAAACGGATGTGGGGAATATGTAAAGATATAACAGTGTTTCTGGAAACATGATTGATACTTTTTCTTATTTATTTAAAGATGTATGTAGGATGCCCAGTTGTCCTGCCCTGAACTGTTTTATTGTTCTACATGATTTCCAATCCTGAAAAGTGAGACTGTTTTTTTTGCAAATAATTATTGCATTGAGGTTGATATGTTTTCATAACCTAAATGTTTTACCTTATTCTCATTAATGTATGAGTTTGAAAAATGTGAACTGAGAAAAATATCAGAACCTGGGAGAAATGTAGAGCTGAAAGTTGGCCCATTTCCCTAACTTGGTGCTAACTGGCAAGTTATGTCATCATCCACATGGGTGTGTCTGTAGTTCCCGGATGGAATGAATCATATGGACCATGTTTGTACCGCTGCTCTTTCCTTGAATGTCCCTTTCATAAATGTTTCCTAGCAATATGTTACTTGGTAAGAATCAGAATACTTTTATATTGTGATATTTTTAAGAAATTATCTTTATTTTTAATTGTTCATCTAGACATGCCAATGGATATTTAGGCCACATTTTGAGCAAAATTCACAATTTTTTTTCTCCCAAACCTTACATGTGTACACAAAAACGACACAATTTTAAGGGTTTGCTTAAAGGAACAAAGCATGAGAAATACAGTGGGTCGCAAGCTCATAGCCAAATCCAAACCAGTGCGCATTATCTGATTCAACATGAGAAAAGATTACAAAGTAAGTCCATGTTTTATAGGAAGAACTACCTGAAGACAGAGTTGCCGGACACACTCCAAGGCCCTTTGTGGGAAGCCGTAGGTAGGAGAAATAGAGCCAGTTTTCATTTAGCCTAGCAGGGAGCTATTGGGTAAGCCAGGTCATGAGTCAGGTCTGATTTTTCGTTGCTGCTTTTTCTGAGGCCTGGCAGTGATGTATACTTACTTTCTTAATTTGATCTTAACTTTACCTTTAGCTTACTAAAAATAGCCCTTTGTGTCCTTTCTTCTCAAGCAATGAAAGAATTAAACTTGGTAAGTCAATGATTGATGCTACATGGGCTAGCAGAATAAGATTGTAAAGATAAAAATCCATGGATGATCCAATAGTTGTATCTCAACTTGTAATTGGACTCCTGTTGAAGTATTACAAGAGAGCCTCTAGTAGGCAACAAGAAAAGAGTTTTCACATTCTTTTTCTTTTTTTTTTGCCAACAAAAAGGACCTTAAAAGTCTCCAGACAGTTGAATGACAGAGACAAATGCACCTAGTTTTGGATCATGTCTCATCTTACTTCAGATTTATATTGTACTAGTTGATATCTCATAGGATTAACTATTGGATGTTTTGATAGTTTTATCTGTGAGCTCTTCTTGAAAACTAAATTGTAAGAGGAATACTTTTGCCCTATAAACTTGACGCTAGTCAGAACACCTTTGATCTTTATTTAAGTCATGATATAATTATAATTTAAACAAAATCCACTTCATAAACTCAAGGTAGAGGTTCCATTAGCTAAAACAATGTCTTCTTTCTTATCTCAACTTTCCTGTTCCCAGCAGTTGCTTTGCCTGATTTGATCTCATATATATTAAAACCAGACTACTCCATAGCACTCTGAATCATCTAGCCAAGTAAGAAAGGTTTGGAAGCAGGAATCCATCCAACAGATTCTCTTTTGGGTCCTCATCAAACTGAGAGTTTCAGAACATTTAAGTGATAACATTGAAGTGAAACGTGTGTCAGTTAATAGTACAGAAGCAAAAGTTGGTGCTTTCTAAGGTTAACTGCTTTTCTTTTTACCGATATCAGTAATTTCAATTTATCACCCATCCATTACATAAGATCTTCACACCTTCAGTAGCACCACCTGACAATCTCACCAGCTTTCATGAAAATAAAACCAACTTTTCAAAAGTTTCCCCCAAACCTTACCTCTACAAGCCTCAGTCTCTCTACAGAAACTTATTGCGGGCCAGTCAAGTTTCTAACATTTCATTTTTATGTTAGGAGAAAAAAGAAAAACCAAACCCATTGCACTTAGGAATTGAGACCTGGCGGTTTTTCTACAAGGCTGAGAAACAGCTTGATTATGGTAGAAATGATTATTCTGCCACTACCACACTGTTTAAGATAAAGAGAAATGGGCATCAACAATTTTCGTCAAGCATTAATTATGCTAGAACTTCTAAAGAAAAGATTCAATGCACAGCAGATTAGGGAAAAATGCTGTCATAAATCGGATTTTGCAGCCAAGTGTCTGCAGAGAAAAAGGGCAATAAAATTCCGAAGTGTTTCTACTAGCTCCAGCCATAATTAATCACAATAACTTGCCAAGAAGGTAAAAATCTGTCATAAAACTGGAATAGTTTCTTTACTTAAATAATGTTAACTTCAGCTAAACAGTGGGGTATTTGTTTATATGAAATTAAGGGAAAAGAAATATCCAGTTACTATTAACACCAAGGAAACACACACCCACCATAGACCAAAGATACTTTGGTACTGTAGCCATAACAGACAAATATGTGGGATGGGAGCAGGGATTTCCCTGATGGTTGGATGACAGGGTCATAGGAGGTTTCCGAGACCTGCTGTCTCCTGTGAGGCTGATGCACCACCGTGTTCCATAACAAGTCACATAAACACAAGCTTATCAGCTGGCTTGTTAAAACAGAGTGTGCAACATCACCGCATTGAAAAGTGGCTTCAGGCTTGCTGAAGGGTCTCATTAATCTGAGGAAATGATGCTTGGTGCCGCAGATTAAACACTACGGTCTCAAGCGGAATGCACGTGAAGTTCCCATGAAAACGTTTCCCCCGTGCTGTTTTCGGTTTTGGTTTGTGACGGAAAGGGTCAGTGATGGACTTGGGCAGGCAGTTCAGAAAGACGTCTGTAAGGATTTAAGTTGGGCAGTTTTCAGAAGATGAAAGATGTTTAAAGTTAAGGCCTTTATCTGCAAACAATAGTATATTAATAAACTCTATACCGTATTTACAAATGCATTCTCTTGTATTAAAACTAACAGTATTCTGTTCACAGTGCCATTGTTTATACAGGTAGCAATCCCATAATACTCATGTATTTTGGCATGGGAATCAGTAGCGCTTGGTATTTACAGAAAATGTACATGTGTGAATATACACAGGTCGCTGAATCCGTAAAAGACAGATTGGCTGATGGTGCAAAGGAATGAACTGTACAGCACCTTCCCCCGATCGGAAGGAAACGTGGTTCTTAAATCGAGAAGATGCCAGATCGCTGACCCAAAGTGGCATAAAGTCAATAGCAAAACAATGAACCCCCTGTTCAAGTTTGGGTACACTGAATAATCTTAGTCCAAAGTTTTAGATCCATTGTCTAGTGCATAAAATATAAAAGTTAAAAAGATTTATTATTATTCTCATAATAATAATTATTATTAAAATAGAAGGTACTTTCACGCTCTCGTTTGTGCTCTTGCACTTAAGACCGATATCCTCGAAGTCCCAAAGATGCTGGTGTTTTTGTCCTGCGGATCAGCAGTCGGATTTCAAACCCCAAAACGCTCCGGACCTAGGGGCCGCTGCCCGTCGCGGTGCGACCCAGGGCCAGAGGGGACACGGCAGAAGCACCTCTTTCTCACTCCTGTCTTCTCCTCGGGGGCGGGGGCAGCCTGCCTGGAATCAGGTCCCGCGTGAGTGAATGGAGTTGCTCGTTTCGGCAGCAAATGCTGAGGTGACGAATGGCTTCTGTACACTTGGGAAAAGGAGGGGAGGCGGGAGACTGGGAGGTGGGCGACGTTCGAAAGAGCCCTGGACAAAACCCAGGGGCGCTGGGCTGCTGGCAAGAGCCCCCCAGGGCCGGCGCCTCCCGGAGGCCTCGCTCGCGGGCGGAGATCCAGTGCCGCGCACCGGGCGCTAGGGCGCGTCGCCGCCCTCGGCCACAGTCTGCTCCTCGCGCTCCGCCCCCGGGCCGTCGTGGTCCGCGCCGGTGACGCTGCCCTTGCGCCTGTGCTGCTTGGACAGCAGGCTCTTCCACTGGGCTTTGTTGCGGGCGAGATGGCTTAGCATGTTCTCGGACAGGGAGCTGTTTCCGGTGAAGCGGGCCCACTCGCGGAAGAGCGGCTCCACGATGTAGGTCATGAAACCTGCAACACGCAAGTCCACGAGTCACCCGAGGTCTCCCTGCGCACCCTTCCCGAGCGAGCCCACACGGGGACCCAGGTGTGCCCGGCAGCGGGCAGGGACGCGAACAAGGTGTCAACTACCCTTCTTGTAGGGGTTGATATCAAAAGATCTGCTGTAGTCATTAAAGTGGGACTGTTCCTGCAGCTAAAACCCTGTACTTAAAATGAATGGGCTTGCTTAACACAATCGAAAGCAAGAGCTGAAGAAAGACAATCTTGAAAAACATATTGCACACGGTAAATGTATGAGATTTGTTGTGGGGCCTGTCACTTAACTTCTGGGTGCCTCAGGTTCCTCGTTTGTGTAAAGGAGCTAAGAAGAATAGCAGCCAAACCCATAGCCAAGTCCACTGGCTTGAGATCATCATTTAAGAGCACTATGAGGAGGTGACGGAAACAGGAGGTGGGGCCCAGTTGATGGCGCGGATCCCAAGGAATGACCTCGGGGACTGTATCTAGTCCCGGGTCCTTCTCTGACTCTTCCCTTCTCTGCATTCTGCATGAGGTGAGCCGTGTTTCCACCATGCCCTCTACTGGATGGTATTTCTGCCTCCCCACAGGCCTAAAAGCAATGGAGCCAGCTGAGCGTGTGCTAAAGCCTCTGGCACCATGAGCCAAAATAAACTTATCCTCCTTTAAACTGTTTTTCTCAGGAAGCTGTCACAGTGATGGAAAGCTAACTAACATAACATGTAAAATGCTTAACACCTCCTGGCACAAAATAAGTGCTGGGTAAATAGGGGCTGTTGTTATTTGCAGAGGGGAGAAAGACCTGAAAGCAGAAAAAGAACTAAGGCAGGCAGTTTGGGAGGAGAGGAAGGGGCAAATGACATCAGGAAGTGACACTTGGTGGCTTCATACATTTACCGTGTGTAATATGTTTTTCAAGATTGTCTTTCTTTAGCTCTTGCTTTCGATTGTGTTAAGCAAGCCCACTCATTTTAAGTACAGGGTTTCAGCTGCAGGAACAGTCCCACTTTAATGACTACAGAAGATCTTTTGATATCAACCTCTCTGTTCGCATGTCTGTTCTCTTAATGATTGAAGATTTGATGCTTCCTAATTGTGCTTTGATGTTAATGTGTTTTCCATATTAAATGTGATTTATTAAGCAAAGATAACTTTCAGTCTAAGCCAGGATTCTTGGAATCATCACAAACTGGGATTTATTTAGGTTTCATTGTTTTTCCTTGAAAATGTAAATGTGGGAAGAGGAGACAAATATTTTATAGCATAACAATATTTTCCAGCAACTAAGCCTGTGTATTTATGGGCATATGAATTATGTCTTGATTTTGTAATCTTTTCACTGGACAAACAGTAGACATTTGGCCTTTGAGGATGCTAGAAAGATAGGAAAAAGCTACAACAATGTGAAATGTTACTATATATTTCTGCATTATCTCATCTTATGTGAAACATGATTTAAATACTGTGAGATCATTTTAGATAACCTGAATGCAAGGAAAAACATTAAGCCAGTAGTTTTATGTCTATATCAGGCATTTTAATATGGTCATATAGTCAGCAAATAAGGATTTTCTGTTTTGCTTGCCCACTCTTTTTGTCCTTCCTTCCTTCCTCCCTTCTTTCTTTCTTTCTTTCTTTCTTTCTTTCTTTCTTTCTTTCTTTCTTTCTTTCTTTCTTTCTCTTTCTCTCTCTCTCTTTCTCTCCATCCCCCTTACCGCTTTCTCTCTCCCTGCTCTTCCCTTCTCTTCTCTTCTCTTTCTTTTCTTTCTTCCTTGTGCTGGGGAATTGAACCCAGGGTTGCTGTAACACTGAGATGCACCTTCACTGCTTTTGATTTTTTATTTTGAGATGCAGTCTTTTTTTTGGTTTTGTTTTGTTTTCTGGTACCGGGAATCGAACTCATGACCTCGCGCTTGCCAGGCAGGTGCTGTGCCACTGAGCTAAATCCCCAGCCCCAAGATGCAGTCTTCATAAATTGCCCATTGCTATCCTCCTGGCTCAGGCTGCTGAGTAGCTGGCATAATAGGTGTGTGCCACTATGCTTGCTATTCTGGAATTTTCTTCATCTCCTTAACAACCTCCATATCTACTTTCTAATATCTTTTATTGAAAAGTTAGATATCTAAAAAGATATCTAATAATATAATGTAAAATGATGTTACTCTATTGTTTAAAGTGTAAATACCCATATTTACATTTATCAGACTTACAGAGGTCTTACACTAGGCAGGAAAGTGATTGCAAAGTCTGAATGGACACCATGAGGTAGTTCTTCTTATAAAGGAAAGCTACTTGGGAGCCTGCTTTGCCACTGTCTCTTCCCTGGGATAGGCTGACTTTGTTGGAGTACTGTCCTCCTGGAGGGGTAGGAATGGGAGGAGGGAGGAATGGTTGCCAATCAGATATTCATTTAATTTAGTACCTTCATTATCAATACTGAATTTGGCAGAGAGAGGAGGAAGTGTTGGTGTTGGGAGGGAATACCCAGTTTCATTTGGGTGAACTTGAATTACTTAAATAGAAAAAGCAGATCGAAGCCTGATTGGGACCTGCACTTACAAAATTCTCACTTTGGATTGGGAATGGAAAAAGAGAAGGGCTATTTTAGACAGAAGGGAGGCAGGGCAGAGGAAATAGCTGCATTACTTAGGACCCAGTGGGAAAATCATTGCTGGATGGGGCGCAGGGGACAGGAAGGCTGGAGCCTGCAGCATCCCTTAGACTGGGCTGGCAGTTAGGGTTTTTCCAGATTAGCCTGATCTACCCTTATCACACTTCCCAACTCTGAACTGAATGAGCTGGCACATATGGAACAAGAAAGAGAAAGATTTATGAACTGAGAGTCGTTTTGTAATCACCTTCTCCTTCTCGTTATTATCGGTGCACTGGTATAACATCCATGGGATTTCCCTGTGTATTCACTCAACCTCCACCCCATTTTTCAAAGAGGTCTCTATGGTAACCACAATTTTCTGAGCTGAAAATCAGGACATATGATCTGACAAAATAAGTGTGTTCTCATGACAACAATAGGACAGACTCTCCGAAATCAGGGCTGTCTTGCAAATCCAGGTTGTATGTTTTGAAAGGGTGAATGCTTTTAGTCTGTGAATGTGTGTGTGTGTGTGTGTGTGTGTGTGTGTGTCTATGTATTTCAAAATATCATTAACAGTTGCCTGGAAATTTTTTTTTCAAACCAGAGCTTAACATAGTGTTTTGGGATTAGGAATCTTATCTGTGGAAGCTCCGTGACAAGACACAACTGTATCCAAGAAGTCAGGCTGTATTTCTGTCATTGATGTTGTCATCTGCCCTGGGTTCCATATTTTTATTACTTTTCCCCCATTTTTGGGTGGAGGCATCAGTTTAATTATCAAAAACAGCATGATAATATTAAGAGCAATTTGGAAAGAGATGGATCATCCTTAATGTCATAATTCCAACATACCCATTTGAATATTTGTATATTCCATTCATATCTTCATGGTTGAGTTCACCTAGTTTTTATTTCTTTTTTTGTTTTGTTTTGTTTTTGGTTTTTCTCCGGTACGGGGAACCGAACTCACGACCTTGTGCTTGCCAGGTAGGCGCTTTGCCGCTGAGCTAAATCCCCAGCCCCATAGTTTTCATTTCTTGAGGATGACTTTATGACTCCTTTGATGGTTAGATTTGACACAAAGGGACTGTCATCATATCATTCTAACCTGCTCTGATCTTCGCTTTCATCTGGTCTTTCCAGATGCTCCTTTCCCTCCCAATGCCAAGGAATTAAACTTTGAGCTTTGCCCTGGTTTATGGCCCTATGAATGCGTTAAGCTGCCTAAGGTCTGTGGGCACAGCAAAAAAAAAACAAACAAAAAAACCCCAAAAAACATGAACTGCCCTATTTCAGGGCCAGAACTAGAAGAAAAAGAATTAAAGGTTCTATGTTTGGTTCTAATGGAAGGAAACCGCAAGGGAAAGAAAAAGTTTGCTTTACATGTAGATGGAACTGGAATTTTAAGGTGTGATAGAAATTCTTACTGGAGCAAAAATAATTTCTTCACTTAAGTGAAGAAAGTCAAATTTCCATCATTTGCTGTGGTTAATGATCTTATGCATAACACAATTAGACAGAGTAACAGTTATTTTGGAGGTCCCTGCATCAGCCCTGAGCAGTTTCCCGGCACTTGAAAAGAGAGTGTGGCTTTAAGAAAATGGGCTTGAGAATGCAAGCTGAAATGGGGGACAGAGAAAGGGGGGCCCTAGGCTACATGCTCTAACATCTTAGGCCTGGGGACTCTGCCTTTGGGAATGAGTGTTTGGGATGGGGTGGGGACTCACACCGGAAGGGCCCTGAAGCCCAATTTGACTGACTCTTCATCTTTTTTGCGGGGGCGGGGGGAGTTTCTGGTACCGGGAATCGAACTCACGACCTCGCGCTTGCCTGGGAGGCGCTGTGCCGCTGAGCTAAATCCCCAGCCCCGACTCTTCATCTTTAAAAGCTTGGAGTGTGAATAGCTGATTCTTGTTCCTTTTCTTCTACTTGATTTGATTTTAATTCTATTCTAAGCCATAAAGTTAATATAACTTAGCATTACATTAAAGGTTTATAGCGCTTGTCTCCTGTTTTTCATAATTTCCCAGTTGAGAATTATCTAGTAGATCAGTAATGAAGAAAATGTGTATTTGGACTCAACCATTCTGACCTCCAGCGCTGAACTTTGGAAAGCTGCATGCGGGTCTTTTTTTTCTCTTTCTGTGACTCCTGGCAGAGGTGCTAAACTATTAACCTCAAATTGACATGGAATTCAACTCACCAATTTGTATACTAGGGATTGAATCTTTCTGTTGATTACAAAGAGGACTGATTTCCAGTTCAAATTTTTGTTCAAGGTCACCTAAGGGGAGAGAAAGAAGAAACACAATGGTAATCCAGAATTTATAAAACATGTGGCAATAGTTTTAATGACCTTGTTGGAAGAAGTTATTCTGGGGCTTACTGTTCCGTGGCTTGTTATCCTTAGGAACCTGTTAGCAGTGACCTCCTCTGCCTTTCTGTGGTGGCTTGCTTGGAAATTTTAAATAGCGCGGTGTCAATGACCATTTATAATGGGTGCATTGTAAATGGGTGTGGCCTGGGGTTAGAGTAAACTTTCAGAGAAGACATATGCAAACAAAACAATGAATGGGCAATTTACTAACATGAATGAAAAGTTCTGGCTTTAAATTACAAGTTAAGAAAACAAACCCTACCCGCTCCCCTTCCTTCATGCTTCCTGACCAAAGTCTGGTTTTACCAGGGGACAACCAGGAACAATAGGTAGGAAATGGGTAGAAGGACTGGAAAGATCTCATTTGAGCAGCAGCTTAGTCTGAAGCTACAAAATTAATCAGAAACAAAGCCAGGGCACTACTCAGTACTAAAATGAATTTTCCTAAAGCCAGCTCCCTCCTTACCTCCACATTTCTATTTATAGTGATTTTTCAGTTACATTGCTGGTTGGTATTTTGAGGGTACAAAAAGCCAAAAAAAGCACCCCAAAACAAAAATAAATAGAAATACGTTTTTGTATCAGTTGTAATGTTGTTGGTGGGGCAGTGTTCATAGGAAAATCAGTTTTGCTAAAAATTACACAAGGCTGGAAGTAGATGTTTGATAAAAGCTTTTGGGATACTAGGTTGACTGAGGACATCAATATTTAGTCACAGCAGGACAGAAATTCTGTTTTCTTAAAGGTATTGAGAGGTAGGGAGGGAGGTACAAGGTATTTGGAATCCTCATATATGTGGTGAGGCTCTAGCAGTTTTCATGATTCACAGGATCTCATTGTTTTGTCCTCCTGTGCCTTGAACCTTGATTTGGAGCTTTTTGCTTTGGTTAGCCTCATGGATCATATTAATTTTACTTTTGTTGGTAGTCTGTGAAAGCCTGCTTGCCAGAAGCAGGCTAGGATAAGTAAGGGTCTGAGTCTAAATCCTGAACTGAAAACCAGAGTAGGATTATCATAATGATGCATGTTATCTTTATAGAATTAAACAAAATCAGGACCTGGGCATGGTGGTAACACACCTGTAATCACAGCTACTTAGGAAAGAGGCTGAAGTAGGAGGATCTCAAGTTCAAGGCCAGCCTGGGCAATTTAATGAGACTTTGTCACAAAATAAAAAATAAAATGGGTTGGGGATGTAGCTCAGTGGCAGAGTGACTCCCAGTAACTAAAAAAAAAAAAAAAAAATCAATATGGAGGACAATCAGTTTGGGTAACTAGAGTCTGGTCTTCTCAAAACAGGCAGAACTTCTGGAGACCATAAGGCATGAGATAAAAAGGACTGGGTCTGCCTGCTCTGTCTCTTCCTTTGTAAGGGGACATGCTAGAGCAAAATGTGTGGAAACTCACCTTATTGATCACAGTTACAAATATTCCAGTTTTTTTTCATTTTATGGTGCTGTACATGCATATATTTTAGGACCAATTTTGAAAGGAGATACTATAGTGTACCTTGCTTGGTTGGTACCCTTTGTTCACATAGTTAGCAACTTTGATGCACTAACTCTATGGGGCTTATTCTCTGCCCAAGTGACATGACCCTGGTTCCATGCTGCCCTGAGTCTAAATAAGGTGCTGCATGGGCAAATAAAAGTGTTAAACTGTGATGAAGGCCAAGAGTGACAAATGACTGAGTGAAAATCAAATGGGACAGAACAGAATCTTCTCTGTCCCATTGTCTGATTTTCAAGGATGGAGATCCTAGTTCCCGTTTCACTGCTATTTCAATAGTTTATATATCACACAAGTAAAGAAAGTACTTATCGTGCTTAATCTAAAACCTCTTTGCGCCAATTTCATCATATTTCCTTTTGTTTTGCCCTCTGTGGAGATTTTATATCATGGGCAAGTAGAACTGGGCTTTTGATTTCTAACCACGCACACTCAATTCAAGTGAAATTACGGAGTTGTAGGAGCTGCATAAGGACCTCTATTCTGAGGGAAAGCCTTCTGGCCCCACATGAACTTGATTCTTCTTTGTCTTCTGTCTTTGGAGCCATCACAATGTCATTGACACATCTTTCAATGGAGGCTTCTCCAAAAGACTCTCTGTTGCTATTTGACCTCCCCACAGAGCTGGTATGTGGGACACTTCAAGCTTTATTGTTCTCAGCCTCTCAAACCTGATACTGTCACTAGTGTGAGGCCACTGTTGGTGCCTGAACAAACATCCTGAATGCTGAAACCAAGCCTGAAGAAACAAGGCTGTGTTGAAAGGCCGATATCCCACCCAGCGTCAAGATCTTGCTTGCTAGTTCACTGCCTTATTTCTGAAGAAAGGTAATCTTTCAAAAACTCTACCCTAACTCAGGGCCATTCGTCTTTCCCTCAAACCCATGCATATTTTTCACAGCAACATTTTTCTACTTGTGTTTTTTGTTTGTTTGTTTGTTTGTTTTCCGGTGCCAGGAATTGAACTCACAACCTTACCCTTGCCAGGCTGGTGCTGTGCCACTAAGCTAAATCCCCAGCCCCTACTTCAGTGTTAAAACTATCTTTGAAGGGATGAACTCAGTCTTCTGGCAACCCTGTTCTATTTCATTATGAACTTTGTTTAAGAAAGCAAGGGAAAGGCAGACAGAAAGACCTCACTCCTCTGTGACAGTGGAAGACATTGACCCAAAATAGCACTTAGCCTTTAGGCTGTGCTCCGCTCATTAAAATGAAGGTCAGGGTAAACATCAAACTGCTCCTCACCTTATTGGACAGAAATAGATAGATATACGAGGTAGATGTTCTCTCATCTATGCATCTCTCATTTATCTATCTGTCTGTCTGTATATCTATATATATCTTCCACTTTCACTCTTTTTTATTGTGTTTCATTCCTACTTGTTTCCATAGTAAGTCAACATAATTCATTCAAAAAATTCTTTTTAAACAAAAGAGTTGGATGGTTTGCAAGAGAGTTAATGAGAAAGGTTAGGATAATACAAGTTGGTGGAAGAACAAACGTCAGGATAGATCAGCCATTTCCTGTTTTAGCAGGATAAATGCCTAAAAGGAGAGAGGGCAATGGAATCTCTGTGCTGGATCACTACCAACCTTGCCTGTAGAATTCTTCACAGACCCTTTCACTCCATTGCTTGCTCATCTCCCAGATTCTACAAGGATTGCAAATGTCAGCACACTTCAAGGCGATCTGAGAAATGACAAGGCAGGGAGAGATTGTCAGAGGACGAGCCTTCTGTTGCAAATATTCGCTAAGCCAAGGGTGCTGTCAAGCCTATTGGTCTGCTGCAGGGTCCTAGGCCTATATTTACAGAGGGCCTCCCTGACCGGCCCCTTCAGGAAACAGCCCTTATTCACAACGACACAAAAACCTTCATTATAACTCCTGCTTTACAGAGGCCAGAAGGAGAGAAAAGCCACAGTTGAAGGACACGGAGCTTCCTGGAGGAGACTTGGGGTAGGCAGGCCAAGGAAAGCCATGGCCCTGCTCCTTCTATTGCCTCACCTCTTACAGGCAGTGAGGCTGCAGTAGTCCTGGCCAGGCTCAGGTGAGATCAGGTGGGACTCACTGTCCTGTTGCCCCAATGCATACAGCGCTTCACCTGTGTGTGTTTGCATTTCTATACCTGTCCCTGCATGTGTAAGTGACCTCTGGTTGCCAGCCCGGCTGCTGAGTTATAGCAGGCCTAGGAGCGCTGTGTTTGCACAGCTAAATCTGGGCCTTCTTGGCTTGCTCACACTGGTCTGCAGCAGGAATGCCAGTTTTTCCCAGTGAGGATGACCCTAGGGAGGTCACCTTGAATTCCCAGTCAGGTAGATTCTCTCTCCTGACCATTGCTTGCTGAGACACTGCTGCCCAGAGCCTTGCCCCCCACTAGTGTCCATTGTTTTGACCCACTTCCTTGGTATCTGGGAGAGTCTTGGGTCACAGTAAGTTGCAAATTTGGTTATTTATTTATCTCCTGATTGGTGGTGGCATTGGTACATGTTGGAGTAGGTAAGGGGTAGACTTCCCTTCAGGTTCTGCCTTTTAGAGACTCATTTGAGTGAGTAAGTCTTCCTTTGGAAATGTGAGTGTTCAGACCAAATCTTTTTGCTATTCATAACTTAGCTTGGGTCACTCAAATCAAGCATCTGCTTCATCTTTGAGCAGTCAGGACCTGGAAGACTAGCATGAGAAGAAGGCAGGAGGGAGGCACAGCCCTACAACCAGGAGTAGGGTACTTTGTGGCTTTGGATAGCTACCGAGCATGGCATGAGGACCTGAACAAAAAAATTAGATGCATGCCAGGCATGGTGGTGCATGCCTGCAATCCCAGCACTCGAGAGGCTGAGGCAGGAGGATCATTGCAAGTTCGAGGCCAGCCTGAACTGCATAGCAAGACCCTGTCTCAAAAAGACAAAAGGAAATTAGATGTTTCAGTCTTTAGCTCCCTGGTTAAAGCTGATTTATCTAGATGACTTCACAGTCCATGTAATCAGTCTTTTGTGCCAAAAGGGTAGAAGGAAGGCAAGAGAATATGAAAGATCAAGAAGAAGGCTCTGGTTTGGATATCAGGTTCATGCTGCTACTGGCCAGTTTAACTCGGCCCTTGTTCTCATGTCACAAATGGGTTCTTGTCATGGAATAAAGCAGAACAGGTTGGGCTTGATCCAGTTCACTTCAACTGAGTTCAACTTAAAATAATTTATTTATTAGTGTCTAAAAAATGGTACGCCTCAGATGAAAAGAACAGGTTAGATAGTAAAGCAAAACCCATTTAAACAGATTTTGGGTAAAGGAGAGCCTGTTGCTTTTCAACTTTTGATGGTGATATAGTTAACAATATACTTTTATGTTACAGAAACAGCCATTTAAAACTGCACAGGTATTGTATAGGTCAGTTTTATATCAAGCCACAAAATCACAAAATGTGGTAAATGCTTGGGCTGGGGTGTAGCTCCGTGGTAGAATGCTTGCCTAGCTTTCGCAGGTTTTTATGCCCAGCACTGCAAAAACAAACACAAAAGCAATGAAACAACCCTTATTGTATGCGTGCAACCTTCTAGTGGGACTACTTTGTGGCGAAATAGTTACAGAACAAGGAAAAGTGAGATATTATCAGCTTACTGATGTGAAACCTAGATTTTGCTTGGAAACCACTTAACAATTCATGTGTCTCAAAGCTTTTAATAAAGTAGGTCACTTCTCTAACTTATACCATGGGAGAGAACTCCTTCTCAAATGTGCTAAAATCATTGATCATGCCCCTAAGTGTTTTGGCCGAGCAAGGCTAATGGCTTTGTTGCTGTTGTTTACCTGAAGCATAAAGTGTCTGTCCTGGGCATCTTCTAGTCTTAAGTCCTTGTTGTGGAGGTGAGCTTTCAATCGGGTCAGAAATTCATTTTGCCTGTTGATGTCTGTTGCCAAGATCAGGGAGCCCAGCTGCTGTTCAATATCCTGTCTGCATCCATAGAACGAAAAGAGAAAAACACACACACAAAGCAAATCCCTTTGAGGAGGACGATTGATTTCCTCATCCTCAGGTGTCTGTGGTCTCCCTTCTGCCTTTCATTCTCTTTCTTACATGGAGTCTCAGGAACCCCCAGCCCAAGAGCAAGACTCCTATCCTTGGACAGGAGGCCAGGGCTGCACAGAGTGACTGACACCTTAGGCGTCTACCTGTGGGGAGTTTATACATCTCTCCTATTTCCCATGAGGGCAAACTGAAAGCCAACTGGAAATGCATACTTTAAGGGGGACACAACAGCATCTGCAGAATCACAGGATTTGGGCAGTGCTTCTGAAGAGTTCTCTCTAATTGGGCAGTGCTTCTGAGAGTTTTTTTTTTTTTGTGGGGGGGTACCAGGAATCGAACTCAGGACCTTGCACTTGACAGGCGCTTGTGCCACTGAGCTATATATTCCTGGCCCTGGGTCTAGTTCACTTGATTTTTTTTTTTTTCCGGTACTGGGAATCGAACTCATGACCTTGTACTTGCCAGGCAGGTGCTGTGCTGCTGAGCTAAATCCCCAGCCCCTCCTGGGTCTAGTTCAAATGTTAGGATTTTCATGCACAAAGGAAAGGGACTAACTGCAGTAATAAGAGTAATAGTGACCGGTATTATGTTATGGAAAACTCTAGCAACAGCATAAAATAGAACAGAAAGACATAATCAAATGTAAAGAAAAAAGGGTGATTAAGACACCATTAGAAACTAGTGGGCAAGAGTATATTAGTTGACAAATGCTCTAGAGGAAATGGGATATTTTGTAAAAATAACAGCATATTAGAGATTTATTTCATATGTAGAAGTAATTAGTGGAAAGAATGGTTCATAACTTTTTATTTTAAAAAATTTTGTTTTGTTTTTTTGAGACAGAGTCTTGCTTTGTAGTGCAGGCTGACCTTGAACTCACTATGTAGTCCAAACTGGCCTGGATCTTGCGGCAATCCTCCTGCCTCAGCCTCCCGAGTGAGTGAATTCTCCTACTTATATTCTGATAGGCATGCACTACCAAGCCTGGCTCATCACTGTTAAAAGTCATCTTAGAAATGAAATATGTAAGTAGAGTACATGGCACATATATACACAGTTAAATGGATAACTATAAAGGGGCTATCATGTAATCACCACTCAGGTCAAGAACATTGTCCTCCAGTGCTCCAGAAGATCCCTTTTACCCGCTTCTCCCATCATGCTCTTCTCAACCCAGATCTGAAGTAATCCCCCTTTTACTCTTTGTGGTAGTGGTTTTCTTGCTACTTATAATAATTTTATTACTTGTGCATGTTTAAGTGAGATGGTTTAGTTTTACCATTTCATTTAAAATGGTACTGTGTATATTAATCCATGTCTTGTTTCTTTGGTTTAAAATCATCTATTTGAAATTCATCCATGTTGATGTGGAGGCTGTAGTTTTCATTAGATTGTATACCAGCATAGGAATATGACCATGTGTTATCAGTGGATGCTTGAGTGGTTTCTCTTTTTTAAAATTTATTTAAAATCTTGTTTTAAGTTGTTTCTCAAGTGTTTTGATTACTATTAAAAATGACACATTGAATATCCTTGTGTATATCTACCTATACACATACAAAAGCTTCTCTAGGGTCTATACCTGGAGGGAAATGACTGGATCACAGGGTGCGCTCATCTCTGATGTATTGCCAGTTTTCAAAATGATTGTCTAAATTTTCACCCTCAGCAGTAATAGATGAGATTCTTGTTGTTCTACATTCTTACCCTTTTCACTTTTTTCTAATTTGATGAGTATATCATGCAAGTCATTGTAGTTTTAATTTGAATTCCCCTGATTTTGCTACTGAGGCGGACATATTTTCATGGGTTTATTGGCAATTTTTATTTCTTCTTTGGCTTTTTCTTTTTTTTTTTTTTTTTTTTTTTGGTTTTTCTTTGGTACCAGGAACCGAACTCACGACCTTGCGCTTGCCAGGCAGGCGCTTTCTTTGGCTTTTTCTATTCGAGTTTTTATTATTCAGTTGGTTCATCTCTCTTTTTGTATTGAATCTAAGGGTCCTTCACACATTTTAAATACTGACCCTTTTTTAGTTATGTATTGGAAATATCTCCTGTCACTCTGTGGTCTGTCTTTGTGATTTCTTTATGATAATTATCGATGAAGTTTTAATTTTTAATGAAGTTTAATCTATAAATCTTTTTATTTATTGTTAGGTTTTATCTCCTATTTAAGAATTCTAATGAAAAATTCTCCTACTTAATATTCTGATAGCTTTGTAGTTCCACCATTCACATTTTAAAATAAGCAACATATATATCTTTAATCTATTCCTGAACATTAGCCATATGAAACAGAAATTCACAAAAATGCAAAATGCCCCTCAAATAGGAGGTATTATTTTTAGTACAACAAAAAGCAGATTAAAATATCTATATGATACTACTTCTCCCATCTTTATTGGTGAAGGTTAAAAGCAACATAAATAATTGACTGAATTAACGTTTCCGGAGTGCAGTTTAGGAATTGGTGTTAATAGCATTTTATGGTAGAAATAATTTTAAGGTTCATCTACAAATTATATATGAACATGTTAGTTTATAATTAGTAAAGTAACGACTTATATGGATATGTATTCTATTGTTTAGACTAATGAAACATTTTGAGGAGAAAAAAATCACAAATATTCATAAATAGGAGATTAGTTAAACTCTGGCACATTGATACTACACAATTATTAAAATGAGAATGTGTAGCTATAATTATTGTTATGGAAAAGGTCATGTTTTATTGTTACATTAAAAAGTAGAATACAGAGCATGTAAAGTATGATTTCCATGGTCACAAAAAAAGCATTTCAAAAAATACAGTGTGATTATGGTTGATTTTCATTTTCTTCCTTATGTTAACATTCTATGGCTTTTAAAAAAATGTGAATATTTATTTATAATTAAAAAATAAAATATTTAATAAATATACATTTATTATAAATATAATTTTAATAAATATAAAAATATTTAATAAATAAAAACTAAAAACCTCAATATTTATAGCATATATGGTTACTGTAGTTAAGGAACAAAGAGTTCTTACAAATGAATAAATCTGATAGGAAAATAGGAAAAGACCAAATACAAAAATTTGCTTTTTAAATAAACAGCAATGGCCAATAAATACACAAAAAATTTCAGTGTCAGTTTAACTAAAAGATGCTTGCTAATTGAATGAAAATCTTTATTTTTTAAGCATATAAACATATGTATGCATGTATATTCACATTGTGTGTCAAGTTTGCAAATATAAAAGTATAATAAAGATAACGTTTGATTTTGATGATGGTGCAATTAGATTATCGTATAACTCACATATGAGTCTTTTTCTTTGGAAAAAGAACTCGAAAATATGCAAGAAGAACATTAAAAATTCAAACTTTCTGGCCAATAATTTCTATTCAAAATATTCTGAGAAAATAGTGTATCAGCATTCAAGATAAAAACATATGTTTAAGAATGCTCATTGAGTATTATTGATAATGACAAAATATTGGAAACAATCTAAATTCCAAACAGTAGGCAACAATTATGATGATTTGGACACCTTTTGATGAATAACCAATTAAATAATTTTAACTTAACAGGTTTAATGATATGGGAAAAAAGCCTTTATGGTAAGTGAAAAATATCAGGGCATAAATTCAAAACTAAGTTCTTTATTTTATGGTTATATTGAAAGCAAACTAAGAGGAAATATGACAACCTAACATTAACTAGTCCCAGGTGCCAGGATTACCAGTAATTTCTATTTTCTTCTTTATATCAGGATAAACCAAATAAAAGTGCCAATATTCTACTGTTTTTGACCCTAAAAAAGCAACTTCATGTAGTTCAAATAGCTTTTCTCAATTTTCCTTAGTCTCTATAGTTTACTTGTCTTGCTTTGAAAACAAGAAAAAAATGACTTTAAAGCATTTGCATGAGGCTAAGAGTAATAACGGTGATTGTGATGATAACTTTTATTATGAAGTCCTTTGATATATACTGTTGCATGACAATGATTCTCCTGCAAGAGTAACATGGTGTCTCACAATGATACATATATATGTGACATTTGTATATGGAATCTATAAGGATGAGAGGGAGCAACTAAGAAATGAATGCTAATTGAGCAGCAAGGAAGATGGATGCAGGTATTATCTTGGATAGCGCTGTTCAACTGGGTCCTTTCCTCTTTTTCTTTTCCCTTTCATTTTATTCTCTCCTATTCGTCTCCACTTACCTTTTCTTTTCTCCTCTTGTCCTTCTTCATGTCTTATTCACTTTTTAGTTCATTTTGCATTTAGATTTTTCAGTGTTGCAAAATTTATCATTCTGATAAAAGGCATACATTTTTATTTATTTTTTATTTATTTGTTTTTTCCAGTACTGGGAATCGAACTCGCGACCTTGCGCTTGCCAGGCAGGCGCTGTGCTGCTGAGCTAAATCCCCAGCCCCAAAAGGCATACATTTTTATACCATGCATTTGGGATGGTTTTATTTAGTTCAAGGGGGTAAAGTGCTATCAAGATTGAGGTTCCTCCTACAAATTCCACATTCCTCTGGATACCAGGAAACAGCATGAGATAGTATCAGAGGGCCAGAGCATGCTACCTGTTCCATGGGGAAATATCACTTGCTCCTTGACATCAAGCTATGTGCTTGTTATTAAGAAGGGTGCAGTCATCTATTTTTGCCACTCAGTTAGTTTCCCTGGGTTCTGCACATTGTCATCAAACAGATCAGGATGAGTGATGTCCTTGGAAGACAGTATAGCAGCTACCTTAGCACAAGTAGGAAAATGAGGCAATGGCCTTAGATTTAGTGAGATTCAGCCTGCATGTGGAGGCTAACTAACACTACACCAGGAAATGAGTATTTCCTCTTCTATTTTAAATACAAGAGCCATTAGACAAATTAATGGTGAAAAAATTGTGGAGGGCCAGTTAATTTACTTATTGAAAGACATTTTGGAAAAGAATTTTTAATTACTATTTTTACGAAGACTGGCAATTACAAAACACACTCAAGCCTGTCCTAAATCTAGCTTAGAAATTCCTGTGTTTCTTCTTGACAAATATTTATTCTTTGGATTTAAACGGGAGGACAATTTTGCTAACATAAAGGACAGGAATTTGGCAAAGAAGAGTGTTGATGCTGGAGTGTGAAAGCTGAGAACTGTTTACTACCCCTTTTCCTGACTTCAGGTCAAAGAGCATTCAGGGCCCTTTCAAAGTGTGCAGGGAGAATCTGGCTTCTGGGTTGTATTAACTGACACCGCATCTCTTCTGATAGACAACCAAGGGCAGGCAGGAAGCACAGCACAGACTCCCCGTCCTTCACACGGGGGGTCCAAAGCTGGCACACCCCAGAAAAGGTGCTTATCTTTCCTGTGTGCACGTCTTTACTGTGTGCACATCAGTCTGTTTCATCTCGGCAGCACTTACGTCATTTCCTTTGGCAAGTGAGCCAGAAGCCTTGATTCTCGAAGCATGCCAATTGTAGATCGCCAGTGGTGATTCTCCAGCACAGACATATTCTACAAAGAAAGAAAACAAAAGCTATAAATGAGGGAGAAGCCAGATACCGATCTTTCGCTCCACAGAGGCCAGCATTTTCCCTCCTGCTGGTTTGTATCTGATGACACAGAGGCAGACCGGAAAAGAAACACAAAGTAGAACCATCATGTGGCCTGTCCCCAAATCTATGATGATGGTGGTAGAGGGACAGGTCTAGCAGATCCCCCACTTCAGGGATGAATAAGGCTCTGTGAACAGCATCATTTATTTCTGCCTCTGCCTCTGATCTCAATAGCTTGGTCAGGCAACACTAACCATGGGGGAGAAAGTGAAGCAGTTAAAACAGGTAGCAGTGGATACCACAGTCCAATAGTCGTAACATAATCCGAGATTATCCTACCCAACCGAGCAGAGGCCAGCCTCATGACTTGTGTTCTAATCTACTGCATGCACCACTGTTTCTCAGTATTGATAGTTACCTTGTTTGCTGGAATCACAGGGGCAGCAGGTGAACACTCAGACACCCGAGTCCCAGTCAACACTGTTTTGATTTGCTAGGCTTGTGGTGAGTAATTCTTATGGACGCTAAAGTTTGAGAATCTCTGTCACAAAAGGTGCTCTGTCAATGAGCTTCATGACAAGAATATTGATATTTAGCCCATTAAGTCTATGAGTTAAAATCTACAATTGCTTCCTTGTTCAATTATCTCGATATTTCTTACCTTGTAGGAACCTTCCCTTTAACTTATTGTTACTTTACATGTGCTTGTCACTTGAGCATTTACCTAACCATGTAAATAATGATCTTATAATCCATTATGTTCTGTTCTAATTAGCAAAAATTATCATTGACTTCATATGAAGAAGAGAACCTTTCTCAACCCCAGGCAGTCTTTTTGCTTTATTTTCTTAATTGTTTATTCATCATTCATCTCATTTCAGGAGAGGATATAAATTTACAATAACAACAACAAAAAAGAAAATAGCATTGATTAGATGCGAGGGAAGCTGTACAATTCTAGTTATATAAGGTGCCTAAGAGTAGTCATAATCCTAGGGACAATTAGAATGGTGGTTGCCAGAGGCTGAAGGGAGGAAGGAATGGGATTTATTGTTTAAAGGGTGCAGAGTTTCTGTTTTGCAAGATGAAAATGTTTTATAGATGTATGGCTGAGAGGGTTGCACAACATTATGACTGTGCTTACTATCTCTGAGTTACTTCAAAATAGTTAAGGTGATAAATTTAAGGTCATATGTATTTTACTGCAATTAAAAAAAAAGCAGAAGGAAATCTGCGAAGAAAATAGTATGGATGGACAGTACACGAAACCAGGAGTGAACTGAAAACTACCTCACCATGATGCCTCTCCCACCCACTCGTGTAATCCTCTACTTTTCAGCAAATGGAAAAAGAGAACCCCTGTGAATGACACCATCCAGGCTCCATTAGGAAAACTCAAGCTTAAGAAAGCTGGAGCTGTTCCTGGTTCTAAAGTCAGACGAGGATTTCTCCCCCAGACTTTGTTCTAACGAGTTTCACGAGGCTGAGCCTTCCACCCCTCCTTGTCCAGTCTGTTATATTGCTGTTTATTTCTCTCCTTGCCAAGGAGTCATTATTCTTTATTCACCACTTGACCACATTTGAGCCAGTGATGAGATTTTATTACTTTTATCCACCGGTCTATTATCTCCTTTTGGGCATGAGCCACACATGCCAAAAGGGAATGTTTGTTAGACATAATGTGCTAGACTAATTTGTTTTGATTGTAAAGATTTATGAGTGTGAGGAGTGATAGGTTAGTGTGATGTAACAGATGTTCAATCCTGTAGTGACATTTAATTCAGTCGCTCATAAGTTCATTTGCAAGAGTAATTTAAGTAGATGTGGACACGCGTGCCCTCACGTGAGCTTTTTAAGGGGCCAGGAAACTAAGAAGGCCTAATGATGAATGACACAGTATCCCTGATGAGTGGAACAAAAGTGTGCAGAGGATGGCCTTAAGCATTGTTACTGGTGCCAGCCTGACTTAGTGTCTTCATTAATAATCTTCCTGAAGACAGACTACAAGGATATTTGAGAGACCTTCTGGTGAAACCTTATTTGGTGAACAACTGGAACACGGAAGGAAATTGAGTGGGCCTGGAAGCTGATGCAGAAGAAAAGACAGTGGAGGGTATGGCTGCAAATGCACCAATTTGTGGAAATCTTTATACAGAGAGTGTTTATCCAGAATTATGTTTTAGCCAGAACTCTGTTGGAAGCAGGGCCACTTCAGTGAGAAAGAAGATAGCAGTGCAGGGAGGAAAGTATCGTGCTAGAATTTGAACTCAGGACTTTGCATCTCTGTTGCTCACACATTCTGCTACTCCCAGCCCTAGAACTTACATTTTCATTCCCTCTCCCTGAAAGAATTTTATTTGAATGTAATACAGATCTTCATGTGTGAAAATCTTTTGTTACCCTATTGGATTCCTCTGCAACAGAAATATTTAAACTTGAAATTTTAATTTAAAAGATCTTCCTAACATTAGGCTCTACATATTTTGTTCAAGCTTGAGTTTATCATGCAGCTGTTACCAGTAATTGGTTGATCAAAACCCCTTAGTATTGAAAATTTGGAAAAACACTTATGCCTGAGAGTAGAAATTTATTGGTGATACATCAAGTTTTGAGATGGAGGAAGAAATTATGGTACCTCGGGTATGGGAGACTTCTTTTGACATATCTAATGGCTCCTTTGGTGTTTGTATACCCAGGGTCATGTGCAGTGTCACTCAGAATGGGTAAGAGCTCTGCCTCTCTTCTGCAGGTTGGTTGCAAAAACATGAGTGAAAAAGTAGAACTGGTTTGGCTGCTCTACCAGCCATTCCAGGCCGGTCAGTTTAAGGACCTGAAAATGGATTCTGTTAACACTCCTCGTGCCTGTGCACCTCTTGGAACGTCTTCAGGGTCCCCATGGTGTACGTGTTCTGTTTGAAAGCTGCTGCCGCCCAGGACTGCTTTGGAGGACAGTGAGCACATCGTACTCATCTTTGTCCCACAGTATGTGGCGCAGCGCCTCCATAGTAAGCAAATATTTGTCCAGTGGACCCTGAGCAATTAACCTTCCAAACCTCACACACCAGTAGCTGCAAAAGTTCAAAGAACCTTTAAAAGAAAGAGTCTGATTTGAATTTTTTGGTTAAGATCTGATGGAAGCCAGACTTGGGGGTCTTATGTTGTGAAATCCTTAGACATATGCCACAGAAGGTGTTAAATTATTATAGTAATTGGCTCTTCCAATTACTCATTCACAGGTAGAGGACTCCCACAATAGCATACACCAGGTAGCATTTGTCAGTTACAAGATGCGAACCATGAAAAGATCATTAGAAAGAGTTATTTCTACTCATTCTGCATGGTGTCTCTTAGTGCTGTCTTGATCAGAACATAATAATGAGGAAGAGTAGCTACTGAGCACTGGACCTGTCTGCGTACTGAGGGAACTACATGAATGAGAAGGTGCTCAGAGACTTACTGGCCATCTGGAAGATGGGTATCTAATCAAGCGGTGGCAATTTAGATTGATGAATACTGAATAAAGGAAGCAAGAAAAGACTGTGGAATCATGTAGGAGTGACATGGAAGATGGATTTCAGGGGAAAAGAAGGTTTTCAGGAGAAAGACATGACCAACTTAAGAACAAAGAGATGAGTGAATTAGAAAGAACGCAGTATAGGCAATATGTTCTATTCTATATTTGATTTGAACAAAATACACTATGTGATAGTATATTTGATTAAAATAAGCAGAAGAGCATGCATTGTTATGGTTTGTGTCTGTGTGTCCCCCCAAAGCCTCATGCGACCATGGGGCAGGCTTTTAGAGTTTGATTGATTATGGGTGTGAGAGCTACACCGGCCCTGGGGTGGATAGTTTGCATATGTAAGGGAGAGAAAGAGGGTGCTTCTGGCCATTTCCTCCCATGTGTGTGTTTTCTTGCTTTGCTGTGTTCTGCCGCCATGAGCTGTAGCTCTCTGCCATGTGCCACTCTGCCTTGTAACCTGCAAAGTATGGACTGAAACCTCCACAAACTGTAAGCGAAATAAACCTTTCCTTCGCTAATTTTGAGCATCAGGTATTTTGTCCCAGCAACGAGAGAAAAGTAACCAAGACATGCATCAAGATCTGTAAGCAGGAGGGACACTACATATTTATTTACTGTTACTTTTTATATAGCATGTAAGATTGATTAAATGATTAAATATTAACTGTTCCTTTCAATAAAGCAATAGAAATCACTAGTACAACTATCTTAGCTATCCTGTGTATACATCTATACATATTTTTTCCCTTCTTTCTTTTCTCTTTTCCCTCATCCCAATTGTTCTTTCCTTTTGAGCAGTTTCCATCCCTTTCATAGTATCTATTGTATCTTCTAGATTTTATTCACTCTGTATGTGTGTTAATATGTTTTGTTCTTCTATCTTTAAAATAAAGAAGGAAACTATTGTTACTTTTTAATCACTAGAAATTATCTCTTCCTAATATATACATATTTTATTAATTTTGTTTCCTCCAGGATAATCCAGGAGTTTTATGTATTTTGTTCCTCTTCTGTGTTCCTAGCACCTGGCACGTATTAAGTACTTCATAAATATTTGTTGAATGACTGATATATTTAGGAGATAGTAAGTAGTTCTGATTTGATGATGTGCAGGAGTCTTGGAGGGAGATGGGGGGGGAAGGGTGGGTGGGATAACAAGGGCCAGGTCACGTGGGACTGGTACACTGTGTACATTTGCACATAATCCCACGGAGCACTGGGATTTTGAGCAGGAATTTGTGTGGTCATGTTTGAGTTTCAGAAGATTCCTTCTGGCTGCAAAGTGGGAGAAAGGAGTGAATCCAGGCAAGGCTGCTGAGTGTATGTAGAGGTGAGGAGGAAGGAAAATGGGGTGCCCAGAACTAGGGAGAGACCAGTGCCAGGGAGCAGGCTGGAATTTCCTGGTGTTCTCTACTGAACTGCTGAGGATGATA